AAGGTTTATGCTCTTAATCCCTGCACATGTGTGGGTGCGTCTGCATGCAGTGTGTTGATGTTTCAGTTGCTGCTGTCTGAGTTACTCCTTTGTTTGGGTGCCAATTTGAATAATTCATGAAACATATTTCCCAGCATCTTTGCTTGACTGGTAATAGGAGCTTTGCTCATTCTGTTCATGACAGCGAATGCAAAATCATTGATTTCTTTTCTTCCACAAACAAATTTGGAAGTGAAATATTGGAACCTCTATAATCTCTATTGTTAAAAAAAGAAGGAAGCTACTAAGTATTTCCAAAGCATCTCATTCTTCCCAACCGTGGTAGACAGCGAAAACGAAAGGAAGCTAGTAAGTTTGAGTGCCTTCAGTATGCTCATGCTTTATGTACGTTCTCACCAACACCCGCTCATCTGTCACGACTTTGCTCAAGCATCACCTGCTCCATGAACACTTTCCTCACCACCCCCTTTCCTCATAGACTTGACCCCTCCCTACTTTGTGCCCCCATTCTGCCCTCTAACATTGCATCTTTGCATATATTCATGTTCATTTCTGCGCTTCCTGTATATCTGCCTGTTCAAAATGGTAGCCACTAGCCACAAGTGCTATTGAGCACTTGAAATGTGGCTCGTCCAATTAGAGATCTAGTGTAAAATACATACTAGATTTCAAAGTCTTAGTGTGAAAAATAGAATAGGAAATAGCTCATTAATAATGTTTACGTTGATTATATGTTGAAATGATAACATCCTATATATATTATATATAGATATATAGTTAAATAAAATGTACTGTTAAAATTAATTTTACCTGTATTTTTTTTGTTTGTTTTTTTGCTTTTTTAATGTGATTACTAGAAAATTTAAAATTACTGGCTACTCTCATGCCTTTCTCCCACTCCACTCCACCCCTAAACCCATACCCACTGCCTCTGAGTCGATTCGGACTCATAGTGATCCCATAGGGAAGAGCTGCTAGTGGTTTACTACTGAGCCACAAGGGCTCCATCCACTCTACGCCTATGCCTTTGTATTTCAGCCAGTGTTCCACCCTCCACACCTCAAATACGACCTTCAAAATTCCTCACCTCCTTGCTTTTATGTAAGTTTCCCCTATGCTCAAAATGACTTTTGAAACGTTTACCTCCACTGCTACCCTAACCTCATCCAAGCTGCTAAGGATAATTTTGTTTCCGTCTCAGGAAACATTTTCAGAGTTGCAAGTGAAGATTTTAATTTAGTTTAGATTTCAGTTGTATTTGCTGATCTGTCTGTGTTTGAATGTGACTAGCTATGTGAGGTTGTGGGATTTATGTGGAGTACATGAGCACTAAATGAGAACATAAGTGAAAGTCCTTAGTAAAGCACCTTTAGAAAATGATGAGGTTCACTGACAACGTGACTAACTTTTTCCACCAGTTTAGGTATGGGGCACTTTATTAACATGCGACCCATGTCTATTTTTTTGCTTTCTGCTAAAAAATATGGTAAGAACAGTCATGCCTCCCAATCATGAATTGCTCTTTCGTGATATCCTAGCCCCTGGAGATTTCACTTTTCTGCATCACTTTGATAACCTGGAGGACTTTAGATCATGAAAATGAAAACTGTAGAGACGTATAAGTTTTAAAATTAGCTCTTCACCGAACACTTGGATGGAGGACCAGTCACAGAAAAGAAAATGCTTCTTGACATGCGTATAATTTGCTACAAAGCAAAACATATTTACAAGTATGTCCTTGAAATCAGGAGAAACAGAATCTCCTCAGAGTTTCTAGTGAGTAAGGGATGGTAATTTTTTAAAAACTTTTTTTTCCCATACAAAAATTTATACATACACTGTTATGTGACTCTAATTGCTCTCCCTATGCTGTGACAGCACACTTCTCCTTTCCACCCGATTCCCCATGTCCATTCAACCAGCTCCTAACCCTCTCTGCCTTCCTATCTCACCTCCGGACAGAAGCTGCCCATTTAGTCTCTTGTATCCACTTGAGCTAAGAGGCACACTCCTCATGAGTATAAGGGATGGTAATTTGAAATGCATCATTATTTTACTCTTATTTAAGGTGAGAGGCGGCATAATAGGGTGGCTAAGAGCGGGGATTCTAAAGGTGAGGCCCAGCTTGAAATCCTGGCTCCATCATTTACTGCATGATCTTAGGCAGGTGACAAAACCTAGACTGTGCTTCTCAGGGATGTTGGGAGAATAAGCAAGTTAATACATGTAAAGTTCTCATAATAGAATCTGGCACATAGTAGGTGCCATATAAATGTTTGCTATTTTCATGAGTCAACTCAAAGGCAACTAACAACAATAACATCATCATTATTATTATATAATATTTTTACCAATTGTTGTCTAGTCAATTCAGACCCATGGCGACCCCATGTGTGTCAGAGCAGAGCTGTGCTTCCTAGGGTTTTCAATGACTGATTTTTCAGAAGTAGGTAGCCAGGCATTTTTTCGAGGCATCTCTGAGTGGACTCGAACCAACAACCTTTCAATTAATAGCTGAGTGCGTGAACCATTTGCACCAACCAGTAACTCCTATGACGTTTTTAATAGTCCTTTCCATGTTGGTTTTACTTTCTTGTTTGAGGGATCCTGAATGTCTCTTTAAGGGCTTGTCTCATCTTGATCCTGAATTTCTCCATGTCGTTATTAGTTTCCCATCTGGGAATTCTCCTATCACATGTTTTTATTATTTTTTTCTTTCTCGGTTACCTAATCCTTGCATTTTAAAAGTGGGGCAGCTAATTCAACCACTGTTTATGTGGAGTAAGTGATGCCAAGCGAAGTTATGCTATGCTGAATACTTTATTTATATATTTTTATGTAAACATAATTTGCTTTGTAGGCACAATATAACAAAAGCTCTAAAGCCACAAATACATTAGACAATGTTCAGTTCACTCCAATCAAGCTTAAATTACAGAGAAGCCTTCACAGTTCCTTTAAGGCAAACTGAGACGTTCTTTACACTTTCTTCAGGAAAACAGTCACGTGACGGGAGAGAAGGTGCTTAAAATAAGGGTACATTAAACATTATATATTTTCCTTTTGCCCATTCTTTATGGTATAAATTCATCTTATTGGTCAAACTCTAGTTTTCTCTTTTCTTTCTGTATTTTGAGGAGAGAGAGGGGCTTTCTTTAACCATAATTTGTGATTACTGTATTAACCTTGCTAATTAAAAACACAGACTAGGGAAGAAATAACTTTTCATGCATCTCCTCTGGAGACAACAAAGGCCATTTGGGTTCTGAATGTTGCTGAGTTCCTACTTTCCCGGGGAAGAGAGCCCTGATACTACCAGTGGCTCTTCATTCCCCCAGTCCTAGAAAATACCATTTCTGCTCAGCCTATCAGGAATGTAACTTGGGTAGAGGTTCTTCTTAGGTTCCTCTCAGACTCCATTTTCAACATGGTAATGGCAGAAGCAGGACCAATAATACAGTATATAACACAGGTGTCGGGGGATAAAATCTCCACATTATCTCCCTAAATGGCACAGAACTGGAATACTGGTAAGTCCTGGGGTAGGAGGAGAAGATGATGTTGGTGTCCTCTTTTGAAATACTCTCATCCCAGTGCTCATTAGTTTACATGTACATTCACAATGAGGAGAAGCTTCCTTCAGATAGATACTTGGCATAAGTAAGTCATCATCAAAAGCTTAGGATAGGGAAGATGGTTATGAGATGACATTTGTTACAGAAGAATTTTGGAAATAAAACAGGTAATTGCTGAAATGCGTTCATTCCCTTTACTTGGGGTGAAGAGTTGGGCCTACCCTAAGGCTTGTTGGGTAGGGAAGTCAAGCAATGCAGGAACCCTCTTATGTTTTGCAAAATGCAAAGTGAGTTGGGGTGCTAATCATGTGGGCTCTTGTGTCTCCAGCTTGGTTTGTGAATGATTTTTAACTTTTGAGCCAAATGGACAGGGAGGATAAACTGGAGGCTCCTTCTAGAGACACTGAGATTCTTCTAGGAAGTTAGCTTTTCACCTCTCAAGCAGGCCCAGTCAAATGGGTAGGGATGGGGTTTCTTAGAGGTTTAGAAGCTGGAAAATTGATCAAAGGGGTGCAATCAAGTAGTTTGGTCCTTGATTTCCTAAGGGCAGGGGTCCTGCAAAGGGTCTTCGTCGTGATTTTATATATCAGAGGAAGGAACTATACATTTGGCATCAGATGCTACACGTGAACCTTTTGTATCACTAGAGTTTGCTGCACGTTGGAACATGCTTTGGCAAGAGAAAAGATACTGCTTGATTTTTCCAAATATGATGTACAAAGGAGCTCTTCTTTGGGGGACCCACTTTAAATGTGGTTGCTTACTACCAGGAATTGAAAACAGCAAAACTGGTAATGCTGATAGAAAGTATGCAAAGACAGTTGAGTCTCAATAATGACTTATGAATTAGTCCATTGCTATGGTGAGTTTTCTTACAATTAAAATAAAATATATATGGCGTGAGGAGGGGGCGATTGCTCATGAGATGTGGTTTAGAGGAGCAATCTCTGTGGCTGGTCCTCAAACTCATGCTATTGATCCATCTTCTATCCTCAAAAACTCAGACCTGTCTCCCTGTGTTTATTGATAAAAAACAATGAAAGGATCAAACACTAGAGGGTTAGAGGAGATTGACACTCATCTTTTGATAGTGCAACAATGAGATGAATATAAAGAAGTTGCCTCTTTAAAGGGGAGAGGTTCTAAATTTATGGGCCCATGAAAACATCTCCTGGCCTACCCTCTTTATGCTGGCCAAATTGGCAAGTGCTCTAGTCAAAAGTATGGGCAACGAGCAGCAAAAAGTGTCATTGGCCAGAAGAATTCCAGGATCTGGTCAATACTTTGTAATAACACCTTTCAGTTCAAACTTGTCTTTGCCCATGTCTGGTCTCTTAGGCATTGGGCCTATGGGCTTGTATTAATTTGCAAGGCTGTTCTAGAACTGCTGAGAAGGACCCAAGGATGCATGGTTTTGATGTAGGGGAGAGGGAGGGTGTCATACACAGAGGGGGAGGGACATAATACTGCATGGAATGAGACTGGCACTTAAATTCAAAAAACAACAGTGATCAACAGCTTTTTAGCTCAGCTGACTGCAGACAAACACAACACGCATTGGACTACAGTATTTGTTCACTGGGGCACAGAAGAGCTTTCTCAGCCTGGTCTTCTTCTTCCAAACCATCTTCATGTTCTCCTGCCTGGGTCCTGGGTTACTGGATAAAGGGCATCCGCTCTTTGTTCTCACTGTCGCCCTCGTGGTCCTCTTCCTCCTCTCCCGCCTCGCTGGTCTCTGTGCTGTCGTTGGCCATCTGTAATTCAACAAAGGACATTATAGGGGGTCCTGCAACCCTGCCTCCACTTTTTCCAAGCTTCTGAAGTCTTGTTGAGGAAGCCCTATCACAGGGCTTCTTTGAGGGATAAGAGCTAGGGAGGCTTGCCTCCCCTTGAAGGCAGTGTGTGTGCATTGTCTTATCTCAGGCTCCCCAAGAAGCAGACTTTGAGATAAGGATTTGAGTACAAGTATTTGCAATTTGGGAGACAATCCCGGGACTATTGTTTCTGTGCTTTCCTGTCTGTGTGCTCAGATTGCTCTTGAGACACTCTCACCAAGCATTTTCCTTTCCTTCTTAGCACTCATTTCAGTAGGTGATTCATCTCTCATTTGTGTCATCATTTGATTAACACTGGTTTCCCCCATGAGCCCACAAGCTGCCTGTATTTCCTTCTACCTCACCTGTACCTGAACCTGATAGACCCTTGATGAATCTCTCGTGATGAACTGAATAGATTCCTCCCCTTTGCACTCACCAGTGGAGTCGGGGTCTTTTCTACATCCAGAATTAACTTGCCAATGTTCCCTCGGTCATGGATCCTCTGCATGGCCTCCTTCACCTGAGAGATGAGGAGAGAAAGGAAAGCTCTGGTTAGGTGAGATGTCGCCCAAAGAAAGCATCTGGGAAAAGCCAAACCGTAAGCTTCCCACCAGGGGGCGCTGTGGTTCAAGCTTAATAGGTAAGCAGGCACTAATTGGGGTGCAAATAAATTCTGGTGGTGTGTACGCACACTCTGATCTTGTGCTAATGACTTTGTCTCCGGTCTCCAAAAAATGGGGGTGACTGCAGGTTTGTGAAGAGCTCCTGAAACAAGGTAGATGAAAAAAATGTATTGCTTTATAAAAGGGTCCTTTAGAATTCCAAGAGTTACATGTTTCAGAGTGTCAGGACTCATCAGCCAGAGTAAATTTTGACCAATAAGTTTTTTTTGAGAGTCAGTTAATGCCCTGCTTACTTAATATATTTAAATACTACCATATTTTTATGCAAATAATGTATGCCTTCTACATTTCTTTGCCAACCACGCCCTCCCTGTCCCCCCCACCCCCCCAGGTATTTTCGTAAGCTGCTATGCCAATTTTTTAACATGTTGCTGTAAAAAAAAAAAATTAGCATAGCATACTTATGAAAATACCTTGCAGGGGGAGGGCACGGTTGGGAAACAAATGTACAAGGCATGCATTATTTGGGTAAAATACAGTGCAGAATGCTGATTCATATTTTTGCTACATTGACCAATTACCCAAGGTTGAGTTACATTTAAGGAAGTTCCCAAGATTCCTGGCTATTAGGTGGAAACTTTGTCTCCAACTAAGTGGAGTTTTCCACGAAAGTAGTATTCTCACCAGAAAAGAGGACCTACTGTCTCCTTTCAAATGTTGGGGGCTTGACAGACTAATGGATGTCTCCCGGGACACTGAAAAAGCAAGGGTATGATAATCTGATTCATATGTTGAACATTTCATTCTGCTACTATGTGGAGAATGAACTCTAGGGGGCACTGTGAGGATTAAATGGAAGAAGGAAAAGTTAACAGGGAGCTCAGAACTTGGCATGGGTTACATCCTTCATTTTGTGATGAAAAGAAATGAAAATGTAACATCTCTTAAGAAGAGGTGGGGAGCTGCAGAAGATCTAGCCTAAATATATTTCCTGAAGTCTCAGGATTTTAAATGTTTTTGTGCATTCAGTCTACAAATATTCATGAAATGTTGCTTATAGGTCAGATGCGATGATTTTTAAACAAAAAAATTCAAAGAGTAAGTAAGACACAGCATCTGCCTTTCAGGAACTCAATCGGCGGCCAATGGAGCAGTGTTTGCTTATTTAAGAACAAAAGCCTTCTACTCATTTGGAAACAAACTTGACAGAGCTATTAAAATGTTCGTATTCTAATAGCTTTTCTGGGACTTTAACCTAAGGACATCATTCAAATTATGGGGAAAGAACTTACCAAACAAAAGATACTCAATCACAGCATTGTTTTTAATGGCAAAAAATTGAAGCAACTTATATGTCACAGTATAAGGGAATGGTTAAGTAAAGGATGGCTCTTAGATTTATCTACTAAATGGAAATGTTGTGTAGTGCTTAAAGTGCTAATTATAAAGAATATATAGCAGGATTAAAGGTTTTTGTAATATTAAGTGAAAAATATGAGATAGTCTACCTTTTTATTTACGTCTCCGTAAAAATAGATATTCTAAAATAACTTGAAAGGCATATGGATAAATAATAAACATTATGTAGAGAGAAAAGGTGCTTACCTTCTAAAATTTTTTTTGGTAACATGTTATCAAATCAGTATTTATTAGAAACTAAACACATCTTTAAAAGCAGTCTTTGAATAACCTGGCATTGGTTGAAATCAACCTGTTTTATAGACTCAGAGTGTCATATGATTGTTAAATTTCTCATCTCTAATACATAATCCAGTAGATTCCTTCTACTTGTGGTGAATATTGCTTTTCAAAGTGCTTTCACATCTGCTTATAACAGCAGCTATTACTTACTGAAGAATCTTTATATATTGTGGCAGACAGCTTCTCAAATGGCTCTCAATGATCCCCGCCTCCTGGTACTCATGCCCTTGTGTAATCCCCTTCCCTTGAGTAAGGGCTGCACCTAGTCACTTGCTTCTAATGAATAGAATATGGCAAAATTGATGGAATATCGTTTCTGAGATTAGGTTATAAAAGACTGCTTCCGTCTTGTAGTCTCTTTCTCTCTCTTTGAGTCTTCTCACTTTTTTGCTCTGATGAAGCCAGCTGCCATGATGTGAGCACCTATGGAGAGGCCCATGTGACAAGGAACTGATGGCAGACTCTGGCCAACAGGCAATGAGGAACTGAGATGCTTACTCCAAAAGCCTATGAGGAGCTGGGGCAACAACCATTGAGAGAGCCCAGAAGCACATCCTTTTCCAGTTGAGCCTTCAGATGAGACCACAGCCCTCACTGACACCTTGATTGCAGCCTTGTGAGAGACCCTGAGCCAAAGGACCCAGCTAAGCCATGCCCAATTCCTGACCCAGAGAAACTATGTGATAATAAATGTTGTTGTTTTAAGCCAGTAAGTTTAGGGTAATTTGTTATGCAGCAATAGGTAACTAACCCATATAAATTCTTACAAATCCTCACAACAAACTTGCAAGATATATATTATACCCATTTTACAGATAAGTACCCCGATGCTCAAAGATATAAACAATATATCCAAAGACTACATGGCTATTTGTGACAGAATTGTGGTTCTAACTCAGGTCTGTCAGATTTTAAAACTGATGCTTTCCCAGTGCCTCCCAGACTGTATTTCTCTGGATTCTGAAAGGCAGAGGAAGGTGGTAGGTAACATCTCACATAGCAGCGGTCCTGGCTTCCAAGAATTCAGTTCTTTGTTACCCTGGCAAGTCATTAAACACCTGGAAACTCCTCGGAGATCAGGAACAATTTTCAAGCTGCTTCTCCAATAACACAGAACCCAGGGAAATAAAAAAGCTGTTTTCTCACCAGTTAAAGTTTATTGTGAAGTTAGGAAAAAAAAGCCCCCTGCAGGGCTCGCTCTAATCTGCATATTTTCTTGGGCATTTCTTTCTAAAATGAACTAACTCCTTGAAGTTGCTCATGTGGGGGAATGGAGTTGAGACACTGGAGAAAGGGTTAGGTATGTTTTCAGAGATCATTTAAGTCATCTTGCTGTTTGAACTTATATCATCTTCCCAGGCTGCTCTTGGAGATGCTTAAAAGCCTTTCTGATGACAACTTAGAGGGAAAGAAACAATCAAGTTTTTATTGGGTATTATGTCAGGCATTTTATGTATGTTAAAAACCAAAACCAGTTGCCATTAGGTTCATTCTGACTCTTGGCAACCCCATGTGTGTCAGAGTAGAACTGTGTTCCATAGGGTTTTCAGTGGCTGATTTTCAGAAGTAGATTGCCAGGCCTTTCTTCCAAGATGCCTCTGGGTGGACTCGAACCTCCAATCTTTCAGTTAGCAGCCAAGTGCATTAACTGTTTGCACCACCCAGCAACTCCTTATATGTGTTATGCCATTTAATCCACATACTGGCAGTTTCACAGATGAGAAGCATAAAGATAAAAAATCCCAGGAGTCGCAAATTAAAACCACACTGAGATACCATCTCACCCCGGCATTACTGGCACGAATCAAAAACACTGGAAATAACAAATATTGGAGGGGCTGCGGGGAGATCAGAACTGTTATGCATTGCTGGTGGGAATGCAAAATGATACAACCATTTTGGAAAATGATATGGCGCTTCCTTAGAAAGCTAGAAATAGAAATACCATACGATCCA